CACGTTGTGAGTCCTACATAAATATGAACACGGAAAGCCTTTTAAAATGAAGTATTTTTTAAGTTATTATTTAAACAGTATAATCACCCTCGGTGAAATGACAAGCGCGCTGAAGCGGTTTACTGTGCAAGCCTGTGTCACAAAAGAAATAATATGTCAAAAATATTAAAGCAGGCATTTTTTTACTCCTTATTGACTCCTTGTTGAACCGGCAAAACAAAATTGCAAATAAAGCATTACTTGAATAATCTGAAAGTTAATCGATGAACTGCCCAGTCCCGATATACATTAGGTGAGGGCGGAGGGTGATCCCAAAGTCTCGTGAAGGTCGCTAGCCCTCATCAGTAAAAGAGTATCACTGCGGCCGATGCTGTCTGTATCGTGGTGAGAGTCGTTTGTCGGGGTTGCAAAGTCTACTGTGTTTGAATACAAGATTATTTAGCCAGAAATTTATAGTAGTAGCCTCTTGACATCCGCGGCCTTCACCAAGAAAATTGAAGCGGGTGAACCCGCACTACCGAGAAAAGCATTTAATAACAGGAACATTGCTGCGTTGCTCGGCCACACCCATTTATTACGGTCACGGCAGATATATTAGAACAGTTTGTTTCACTTGTTTCAGTTGTCCTGCAAACCGTGCAGTTTGCGGATCTTAACTAGAAGAGACACTCTCTCCTCATCGCAACGCAGTAGATTTGTTCAGACTCCAAAAAAACTTACCCACACTATGGCACAGTAAAAGGGCGGAGGAACTCAGTAGCATGGTAATTTCCAATACAGCGCTAACTTATCTTCATTCTCAATATTGTCACGGGTGGTGACCAGAATAACAATAAATAAACAGGAAGAAATAAATGTTTAATGTGGCGAACTTGTGCCAAAACAAAAAGGGAATAGAAAATAACAAAGCGTCGTGAGCGTCGAAGTTGGCGAGACAGCAGAGTCGAGCGCTATGGCGAAACTGACTCCGGCTTGCCACGCGGAGCCGCTTTTGTATACGCGTTGGCTTCTGGAGCATTCGATGTAGAAAGTTCGACGTGTAGAACACTCTAAACTCGAATCAGCTAGACGGTTCTCGAATTCACCAGAACATCTCATTACAGTGTCAACAAAATGCGTAGCCGCGGCCAGGAATCGAACCCTGGTCCTTCGCGTGGAAGGCAAGCGCGATAACCGTTAGGCTACGGCCGCGCTGCCTACTTGGCGCGCGGCAATATTTATATTACTGCAAAAGCTAGAAGTTAAAAAAAAAAGCATAGAAGCTGCGATTTCACAGACCAGTATTATGTTATCTGGGTTGGAATTTATTTATTTTTTTTTAATTCCCACGTTGATGAACCGATACATCCATTTTAAAAGAAACAAATATTTAACATAAATATTCCAGTTCAGCCGGAGGCAGGCATCAGTTGTGGTGATCCATGCCTTCCAACGTCTGCCTAGAGCAGACGACGCACCCACAGAAGCGATTATATAAATTTAGGCCGCACGCTGGCAACACGATTCCATCTTCACTGAAGCACCGAACGGTACCTTATCGTTTTCCGCTAGAATCGCTTTCCCACCAATAGTATGCGACAAAATAAACGCAAGAATCTACGCCGTCTCGCGCGCGAACGTGGGGTGTCTATGGGGCGGTCGTTCTCCTATCCCCGCTTTGATGATGATGATAGCACGACTGTAGCACCACCTCTAGGTCGATCTCGAGGCCAATAGCCAGTGTCGTCGAGTTTTTTCTTTCTCAATTTCACTGTCATCAGATTCTGAATTCATTAGAAGTTCCTGTATTTCAGCATCCGTCAAAAAGCACCAAATCGAAGCATGTGCGTTTGTTATTGTAAAAGAATGGTGACGCGGAAACGCAGAGGAAAGTCGCCTTTACAAAAATCTCCACCTGCCGTCAAGAGGCGAAACCACCACTCAAAACATTGATTCAGTTGGTTGTCCATAGATGGCGTTTCTTGTGCGGAAGATTATTGTCAGCCCGAGTTTAGCCGGGAGAGGCAGGGAGTAAATTGAAAACCCGAAACGAGTATATCGGGCGCGGCAGGGAGTGTACCCAAGTATAACATACAAAAACGATACTGATACAGTAATCTTGTAGAATATTACCTTATTTAGTAATTACTGCGTCAATATGCGTTTGAAAAAAAAACACTATAAACTTTTTTCCCACGATAAAACAATATATCAACTTTTAGGTCTGGTAACAATGTATTTTTGCTGAATCTTCGCCAAATCTATCAAAAAGTTTGGCAAAAATTCGGCTTTGCCGAATCCGTAGATTCGACGCCGAATTTTCGATTCTGCAAAGGTTCGGCCCATCACTAATATCAACGTAACTATTTGGCGTATGGTTATCGAAATTAGTGTAAGTGTGTATAATTAGTTTCTTAAACCAAAAAGCTCTAATTTGAAGAATGAATTTTTTCAAAAAAATTTGAAATTTAGGCTTATGTCCCCCCTTATATGAAAGGTTACTTGAGCACATGAGGGCTGTTAAGAATAACTCTCTAAACTCTGAATTTGCAAAACATCTGGAGCAATGCAGGAATCGTTTGCCTGTGTGTGGGTAAAGAGAACTGTGCAAAAAGGGTTTTGAAAGGGGCAATCAGGATTGTGTCTGTAAGCAGTTGTATCGTCCAACCTTCAGTCGCATTGGATGTGGCAACCTGAATGTTTTTGCTTTTGTAAGGAAAGGGGGGAAAGGGAAAAGGTTTACTGTCTTCAGTCTGGGTTTGTTTGTCAACCTATTCCATTCTCTGACATGGCAATTGATTGTATGGAGTGGTCTGGAGGTTGTAACGTTGGAGGGCATGGCAGGTGGCCGCAGGAACGTGCACAAAATCTGCGAAGGTTGTGCGTAAGAGTGTCATGTATAATCGGGTGTCAATAAAATTTTGTCAACTGCATTTGAGACTTATTGCGTGTTGTCTCTTTTTTTCGTCGGTCGTTTCCGGTTTAAATGATGTGTTAAGTGCTGGTGCTCATGTTGTAAGCATGCAAAAGTACCTTGAAGGTTGTAGAGTTGCTATTGCACTACATAGAACATTGATTACTGCAATTTTATTGATTTACTATCAACAGTCATTTATATTATTCTATTCACTCTATAATAGAAATATATATATTTTATAACTTCTGCTTAAAGGGATGGTGAACCGAAATTCGGATTTAAAAAAAACAATGCTGGACGATGTAGGCGGGACGCTACAATCCCTACAACACTACTAGTAAGGCGATATCTCAAATGGACGGCCGTATTTTTGGAAAAAGAAGTCGAGATTGAACCAGGCTGACGAGGCACGTGACCGTCAAGATACCTAGTTTCCTCCTCTCTTCTCTTCGCTCCCTAAAGGCTGCGAGGCGGAGAAGACGCAAGGCCGTTCCCCCTCCTTCTCGGAGAAACATGACATAAACATTCCTGCCAAAGGCGCCTTTTTTTTTTTTTAAATACGGTCATCCGTTCGAGATATCACTGTACGAGTTATGTTTTGGTGTTTGTAGCATCCTGTTGCACGCTTTTGCCGTGTGTTTTGCGGAATATAGATTTCGGTTCAGCATCCCTTTAAATATGTTTTATGTCCTGCATCTGTCCCCCTAGGTGATTACAGATGACAAAGAGGGATGGTACTATAAAACATAGAAAACAATGGCAAAATTAGCACTCAATTATGGTTCCATAGAAGAGTTAGAAAGGAATTTGTGAAAACAGTTGGGTCATGAATAGTAGTCGCACTTTATTGGAGGAGGTTGTTCTTTTCTACAGAAGTGTGAGGAATGAACGAGTGAAAACATTCATTTATATGATGTGGAAAAATGCCAGATTTGTTTTGGTGATTTAAGCAATTGAAAAATATAGGACAGGGCTTTGAGTAGGCGATGACGCAAGGAAGGATGATGGTAAATTTTGCGAAAAAGGAATAAACAAGAATACTGCCTACATAAGGCAAGGTTCGGTAATGATAATGAATGTTTCATGGAGGTTACATTAGCAGCATGATGGTAGTTTAAAGTATGAAATGTGCGGGCTTGTTTTGAACAGATTCTAATGACAAAGCGAGGTATTCCATGCCGGGTTCCCCGAGCGGAAGCTACATACTCGAGCTTCTATGTTACGAGTGACTTACAATTCTTGCCCACTATTACCTTGTGGTTATTATTCCATTTGCTTTTTATGTACAACTGGCTAACTCTAGTGGGCGTCGAGGATTTGCAAGGCAGAAATGCCTTTTTTCTCTGCCGGCCTTAACTGCAAAAACAAATGAATTAAGAGAAATGGGGCCTCGAGTACTGCGTTTTTGGAGATGGGCTTGCCCGACTCTACGGGGTGTGTTCTAGCTGCTTGTAGAGTGTGTAGGTGAGACTGCTAGCAGATAGCAGCAGAGTGCCCAGGGCTGTTTGGAGGAAGTCCGGTGCGTGGAGAGCAGCCTGTGAAGCGTACGCTGTCCAACCCAGAGGGTTTGGGGGAAAGATCTGCCTCAGAGTAGAAAACAATACTGGTTCATATTCACTTGTTCAGAAAAGAATTGATGACGGTGAAAGAGAAGCTACGGTATGTATATTTGTATTGAAACTGTATAAATTAAGAGTTCCAAAAATGTTTATAAATTTTGTGGAGCAGAAACAATGTGCCTGTTCTGGGCTATGGTGGATTACACACTTCAGGACGTAGGGATCGCGATCTGGCAGAAAATGTTTTCTTGTCACAAACAGGAGAGATTTCATGCACCAAGGCCTGTGTGAAAGCTCTCAAAAACCCTGTGGTTTTTCTTTCATTCGGCCAAGTTCCCAAGGAATGTTACATGAAAATTGAATATATACCCACATTACACTTCTTTTCACAACACATGTTAGACACACCCCATTTTTTCCCAGAAACCGAAAACCACAAAGATTTTTCGATTTTGCTTTAGACAGCATGGGTTGAGTTTTTCAAAAGCTGGATTTTTTTTATTGAGTCTTCCCAGGGCATGTCTGAGTGTGGTGTCCCCTTGCAGGAGAAGAAGGACATGTCAGCCTGGTTCAACTTGTTTGCCGACCTGGATCCCCTGGCCAACCCAGACGCCATTGGGAAGAAGCCTACCGAGGAAGACCGAAACTGCTGAACCCGTCGTCCCAGTGCAACGTGCCGGACACACGGTGGCTCGAAAATTTTCCGGTGATGTGCATTAAAGGAGAAATTCGGCGCTGAATAATTCTCCATGTGTCACGTCCGGCTCTGACGAAACGTGGTTTTCTCAGGTGTGTTTGATTGTGTCTGTATGTCCGCTCCATCTCCCGATCGCCTTGCAAGTGCCATAATTTTATGGCCAGGTCCAGAGTAGATGCATTTGGCCAGAGTTATGAGGGTGCAGAATAAAAAATCAGATTTAAATTGCGATTTAAATCGGGATAGCTTTACTATAATGGTTCAAATCAAACCTTCCCCACAAAAATAATCCCAAAAATATTGCGAAGCGGGCTGACGCAGGGAAAGAAGTTTAATTCTGACCGCTTTTGTCCAGCCACCAATATTTCTTATTTACCATTTGTCTATCAATTGATGCTTTCTGTGTGCATTTGTTTTGCATTTAAATCAAAGAATCGCCAAGCCAAAGATTCATATAAGGCTGATCTCGAGCAAACAGAAGTGCTCTTCTGAGCAAATCACAGCATAGAACTTGATTTCTAGCTTCCACTTCTCTACACAATGTCCTATTCCAACAAACTCTTAACGCAAAAAAAAACAAAAACTAGAAAAGTAATGTCCTATTGCAATCAAGTCGGAACTTGAAAGAAAAATCAAGTGCAGCTTTTAACCGACAAAAAAGAAAGAAAGAAACACCAAGCTGTATCAGTGATCAGACTGATTGATCAATCAATCTGCCATATTTAGAAATCTATCTAGTGGTGAAGAACCACTAATTTCTAGCTCAGTAATGTAAATAAAATTAACGACTTAAATAAAATAAATCCAATTTGTTTCTTTTCTTTTTTAATCTTGGTTTTGATGAAATATTGAGACTCGCTAACCTTGGGCGAGGTAGTGGGAACCTGGGGCCTTATTGTTCCGCTTTGTGGCAAACTATTTTAACATTTCTGGAGGAGGGTAAAGCATTTCCTGCAGTTTCAGGTTGAGCTTGAGATAACTGGGAACGAGGGGGCTGAAGTGTGGCTGCTCCGAAGCATAGCTTATTTATCTGGCTCTAGTCTGTCTGGAGCGAGAGGATGGAGCACTGCTCTGCCCAGCTTTCTCTCTACCTGGTCTGCTCCACTGGAGTTGAAGCGTAGCTGTTAACGGGGGTATGGTGTTTGGGATGGGTTATGCATGTTGTATGCGGTGTTCTAGTAAAGATTGCCCTTTAGTGCACAATGCAGTCTCAACCTCTTGGGCATTCTGCAAATCGCATCCCTACCGCAGTCTCCGAAAGCCACCTTCAGTTGGGACCCAGTTTATCCGACGTTTGCCCAATCATATCCTCCTTGAGCTAAGATTATGGTAACGTCCGATGGCGAGGCAGCTAGATTGCCAAATTTCTCACTGTCCAACTTTAGCTCCAAGTCGTCGGGATCTTTTGAGAGAAACTCCTTTTTAGGAGTTAGCCAACAAACTGATTGCTTTCTGTTCAACCCATCCGATTTGGGCAAGTGTAGTTTTTCACAGGCATCGAGATCATATGAGAGCAGCATTGGCGTTAAGCTTTCAAGGTTGATCCCCTCTTGTTAAAGGGGCAGGAATCTAAGAACCGACATGCACACAGACACCAGCTCTGTTTCCGGAGGTTTAATATTGAAAATTGTGCAATAAAGTAGATCGTCGAATCTTGCGGGGAGCTAGGGGTCGCTCAGCAGAACGTCCACAAGCTTCTGGTACGGCACCCGCCCGTGGGCGTCGGGTGCACCCACGTCTTGGAGAAACTTGTCCGCCTCCGCAGCAGACAGCGGCTCGCCGATGGTCGTCAGGAGCCAGCGGATGTCCAAAACACTCACCAGGCCGTTGTCTGGGGAAAGAGATTACGGCATTCAGACCAGTTTTGTGTTCAGATCGGCTAGCACTGTGCCATGGAAAATAATGGATGGATTTGACAGCAAGAATGCAGTCAGTTGGCACCGACTAGAGCCGCTAAATAAGCTATGCTCGGAGCAGTGGCGCCCCATTTTCCTACGTTCTTCTCACAAGCACCACCCTTTTGCTGCTCGGCGCAATCTGAAAATGAGACTTCCCGAGCTTTACGGCAGATATTGGGAAGCTCAGGCGGTGTATCCTTTTGCTGTGCCGTGGGCAGTTTTAACGTTTCTGGAGGAGAGGAAAAGCATTTCCTGCAATTTGAGATGAAGCTTCAGATAACTGGCAACAGTGATAAAGTACCGAGATGGCTGATGTGCCGTTACTGTGAAGTGTAGCTTATTTAACGGTTCTAGTAGCTCCAACGTTTTTCGATTTTCAATTCAATTTTTATTTACTCCAATTCACAGTCTAAAAAATGTCTTTATGCACCGTTTATGGGGAAAATAAGAAGAAATGTGGCTGCGTTTTCGGCAGAGCTTCACTGCAGACTACATGGGGGAGGGAGGCTGGTTTGTGCAGGTGAGTTATACAGTCTAGGGGACATAATACAGGGAGTGAATCGTCACGATAAGTCCAATAAGTAACTAGAATATGTTAGAGGAGCTATGCAACGATTTTAACGTTGAAAGAATTTGCATTTTCTACTTTTGACATTGTTCGTCTTGTCACAAAGGACAGAAAACACATCTTCGAAATGTTGAGATTCCGCCGCATAATCGCGAGGCAAAAGTTGGAATATTTCCGGACCTGCAGCCGCGAGCGGCGGCCATGAGAACCTTGCAGCATGACGTCAATAGGGGACTTAAAAAAAGATAGGAAGTTGTGCAAATACCTGCTCGATAAAAGGCAATTTTCTACAAATCTTGTCTTTCCAACATAAATATAAATGTGTCAAAAACCTGCTATCATCGACAAAAGCTTTATTATACGGAGTTTTAGTGGCACCATCTATCCGAGGTTAACAAAATTGTCGGCTCTATCTGCAACCGCAAACAGCCGCCAGAAGCCGGAGGGGGACGGGGGCACAGCCCAAGGAGGATAGAAGGGTAGGAGAGGGCATGACGTCAGCCGCATAGCCTCCGCAAGCCATGCTCGCTTGACGCCTCGCCTTTCTCATTTTCCTCCTTACTCTCCTCACTTATCAGCCCAACATGACCACATCACGTGACCATAGCTAGCCTTCGTCTAGCCTACGATCTGATAAAACCTACCTGACTGAGCGCGCGCAAGCCTGCAAGGAATCCTACAATCAACCATCCATCTCGCACGTGACATGTCACGCGCACCAAACGCCAGAGAAATCTGCAGTCACGTTGGGCGCAATATCGTTTAAAATTTTTATGACTAGGCTTCACCAATATTGCAACGTACCCCTCCTAGTTGGCAGAGCCGGGCGGGGATGGCCGTGCCCGGATGAGCACGTTGGCTCTTTCCTCCTTTTGCCATGTTGATCGCGCTCAAGGAGGTTATAAGTACTAGGAGGGGGCACGTTGCAATATTGGTGAAGCCTAGTCATAAAAAGTTTAAACGATTTTGTGCCCAACGTGACCGCAGATCTCTCTGGCGATTGGTGCGCGTGACATGTCACGTGTGAGATGGATGGTTGATTGTAGAAGGACTCCTCGCAGGCTTGCGCGCGCTCCGTCCGGTAGGTTTTATCAGATCGAAGTCTAGACTGTGGTGTATTCTAGTACCCCATAGCAAGACGAAGGCGAGCTACGGTCACGTGATGTGGTCACGTTGGCAAGGTAAGTGAGGAGGGTAAGGAGGAAAATGAGAAAGAGGCGAGGCGTCAAGGGAGCATGGCTTGCGGAGGCTACGCGGCCGACGTCATGCCCTCTCCTACCCTTCTATTCTCCATGATAGCGCTGCGCCTGCGCAAGCACGTGGTTACGTGGTCGCGAGTCCAATCACGTCACAGCGCACGTGACTCAGAAGATGGCACTTTTCTAGCGTTTGCGTTCGCGCACGCCTTTGCATCGGCTTAAACAATGGGAAAGAATAAACACGAATTCGGGACGAAAACAGACGTCCCGAATTCGTGTTTATTATTTACCAACACGCTCGTTTTTAATGGTAATCTTTTCATCGGCTTCTGCCCGTCCGTGGTGTAGATGCCATTTGCCTTTCGTTACATGAGGCCATTTCCACGCTTCGAGCGCACCTTCGGGCTTCAGGGCTCCCGGCTGAGTATGGACGAGTGTCGCGCCGCGAGCCCGGCCCGAGGCAATCGGTCGGCGGCGGCTCCCGTGTGCAAGCTCGCCGAGACGCCGCCGCCGGGCATCGGTTTGTGCCGTCCGCAAGACGGTAACCTTTGCAAGGAGAAAACATGCAGGCGAGCCGAGGAAACATCATAATATTAACCCGGAGACAATGAGAGTTGTCTGTCATTTTCTTTATACTTGTCTCAGGGTTTCGATTATGACGATAACCTTGCGTACTTCGTACAACCCGCAACAGTTTTTCTACAAGCGACTCCTAGGGCCGCCCGTCAAACTTTGCGGCGCGCAATTTTTTTTTTTTTTTTTTTTTTTTTTTTTTTTTGACGACAGTTTTTTGCGCGTTAGAACTTAGTCGGCGGCACTGATTCAATGGTCGGCGGCATATCGACACTTTCTGCTTGTAGCGGAATCGCACTAATGCCGAAAAAAATCCGCACGTGCTGGCTAAAGGTCACCATCGTAAGCTCGGCTCGTTTTTTCCAAGTTCACATCTAACCAAACTAAGTACCTTCGATGAAAATATCGTGCATGTCAGCGCATGTCCGGGCAGTTAGCGGCATCCCAAGTCCACCACCAGCATGGCGCAGGGCCCCGTCTTTCCCTAACGTGACGTCGCGTGCAAGGCATGTTATTTTTACGGAACTGTATGGGCCCTGTCCTTTCCAGGCAGTGCGTTACAGGGTAAGTTACTTTTAAACCCAGTTCATTTCACAATTCATTATAAAGGCTGGTTCTCAGCGTTTAAAAGTTGCCGAAACATTTGTGTCTCCAATATTGCGTGCCAGGCTGGCTTCTTGAACTGGTAGTCACGCTTAATATGAAGCACAGATGTCCCAGTGACTTGTACAGAAGCTTTTGCAACTGAACGCAAGAAAACAGCAGCCGGTGTGCTCGCGCACACCGGCGGCTGCTGGCTCGTGGAAAGATAGTGCTTATGAACACTGTTTGGTTCAACTAGGGTGCCTTCATGTGCGCTTTGCTTGGGGTGATGACATCTGGCCATTTTGTTTCGAACCCTTATTTTTATTTTTTGTTCTGAAGCGCGTGAAAGAGCGTGTCCCTGCACGCGCTCGTGGCGCTGACTGTGCTACGGCGACATTTTGTTTCCTGCAATTTCTTTGTATTTTACCCGTGAGCGCGTGCTGTCGGCATCGGGTACTACAAACGATGGCATCACCCTAAACAGAAGGACATTGAGGCACCCTAGGTTCAACCACATATTCCCGCATTAAGAGGCTCAATTAAAGAATAGACTACAAGACTGTACTTCGTTGATAACTTCATATATTAATTAAAGATTAACTAATGTCAACCGAATAGACCGATCTCACCAGCTAGTTTGAGTACGCCATCGCTGCCGATATGCATCGTGGGAGCTGTAGTCTTTCTGCACGCGCGACAACCCTGCTGGAGGTCTGCGCGAGCAGAGCACGAGGCGACATGAGCTCGTGAACTGGCGTCTGCCTCCTACGAACTACAGTTATGGCGGCGTCACGCATGCTTGGAACGCTTAGTGAGATCGGTTGAATCGTCAATATTATCTGGAAGGAATCGTTTCTTTATTTCGTGTTTTAATTCCAGTTATTCTCATTCGTTATATACGGGGCGTTTAATTTTAATTCAAACAGATTTATTGTTAAAAAGTCTTGAAAGATGCACCACCGTAATATCTCGTATGAACCCCTCCCCCAAGAGATTGACCATCCTTTTTTTTTTATATATTTTTTGCTGAATTTTTATAACAGTTATGCGCTATTTCCGCCATTTGCGTCGAACTACGCCAAGGCGCTTACGCGGCTGCATCCTGTTACGTTTCGCCAAAATGTGGGGAATTGCGCGAACATTGCACCAAAACTTAAATTTCACTTTACTGATACTCAAAATACGGCTCAAGCCCCACTACACGCCGGATTGTGCAAGCTTGTGCTCATTTTCGGTACTTTCGATTATCACTTCAAATAGCGTATTTGATCTATGTATCAAAGCAGACAGTACCAATGAATTTTGCAGTATTTCGTACGTGTGATAATGGTTAGTTAGCTTCATGAAGTGGGCTTCTCTCCATGCACTGCTGCGCTACAGCGAAGCGACGCGATTTTATGTATTTTGCTTCGCCGTAGTGCATCCGCGTACTAAGTGCTCCAGCCTTCTGGCTATACATCTTTCAAATTCGGGATTTAGCAAGGACGCTTGGGTATTGCGGGAAGATTAACTGCTCTATAATGTATTTTTTATGTCAACTTTCTCGGTTAACTGTCACCTTTATACATGCTCCATTTGTTGGATAGCGCAGTGAACGGAGTAAATTAAAAATAAATTGGCTAGAGCGGCGGCATATTTATCTTTCACATGCCAATTTTTCTTGTGAAGTTTGACATGTCGACCATGTAGGCTGTCATCGTTTTTATAAAATGACAAAGGGTGTGCGAATACTCGTGTTTTAAATTCCAATAATGATCGTCCGAATAATTCTAATCGACTTCCGGATTCCTAGTACGAGTTTTCGAATGCATTGAATATTAATACTTAGCAAGACTTGTTGGGCTTGTTGGTTCGTGGTACAGAGTAAACTTGACTGCGCAAACACGGAGGACGAGCGAGTGGAAATGGACAAGCGCTATTGACAATAATTTTGTTTTATTCAGGAACGCTGTTCGGTGAAATAGTCATTACTAGCAGTCATCACTGTTTCATTTTAGGAGGCTGGCCC